TTGGGCGATTAACGTGTTAAGCTTAATGTCTTTTTCGGCAATTATAAAGGAAAATATTTCAAGAATAGGTAAAAAGAGAGTAGGGTCTATTTTCTCATTTTTGCAAGGAATGGGAATTATGAAGTATTTGCGTGCCTTCACAGATTTGCTGGATAAAATGTTAACTTGATTAGGTTGGAAATCGAAATTTTCCTCGAATAGATCATCTATAATTTTGTAATGTAAGTCTGTTAGTTTGGTTTACCAAAAGAATGTTACAATATTTTTGTGAGACTTGTCCAGAAGTTGTAGATTGGAAATCTCTATCTTTGAGTAGTTAATAATTGATCATTGATCTGGTTTTGTAGAGATTTACGGAAAAGTTATATACTTCCTCAATTAGGGTTGTTTCATTATTGTTCTCAATTTCGACGATTGGAATTTCTTGTTGTTGTTGACTTGTAGAGGGGCGGTTTTTTATATCGTCAATATCAGGTTCTTCTTTGTTAGAAGCGAACATTCTTTAAAGTGGTCTACTTTTATTGGCTATAGGGCATCAGCGTTCTTATTGATTTTCCCAGGTTTATACTCGATTCGATAGTAGTATTCTTTGAGTTTCAAGCGCGAGAGAGCTAAACGACTTCCAGGGACCCAATTCTTGAATAATCTCGCATACGAAAATTTATATTATTTTCCTATTTAATTTACGTTGCTGTCATTCGAATTGGAATCAACTTTCGTATACGAGAATATTCAAGAATTGACCCCCAGGGTCTTTAATCGAGAAAAGCCAAGTTAACGGGCAGTGGTCTGTTTTTTCGACCAAAGAGATAAGATCTAAAATGTTCAACTGCCTATACAATGGCCCGTTATTATCTCCCTATTGTAGAGTATTTAGTTTCGGCATTGCACAGCGTTCGAGAAACATAGACTATAGGGAGATCTTTTCCTATAGGGACTTGTGACAAAACTGCACCGATGGCAAAAGCGCTTGCGTCGGTGGTTAATAAAAATGTCTCTTCGAAATTGGGATATAGATCAGAATCGGGTCAGAAGCTAGTGCGTTTTTCAATTCGTTGAATGCGGATATACATTCTGGGGGAAAGTGAAATGGAACATCTTTCTGGAGGAGTTTTGTCAAGGGCTTTGATGTTTTAGCAAAATTGGGGATAAATCGATGATAATATCCTGCTAATCCTAGAAAGGATTTTTGGGTGTGGGGAAGTTTTGAATACAACTAATTTTTACAGTGTTCGGTTTTACACCGTCTTGAGTGATAAAGTGTTCCAGGTAAGCTACTTTTTTCCGAAGAAACTCACATTTGCCCAGCTGGATTTTTGAGTTAGCTTTACGGAGGCATTTAAATACTTCGGTTAGCCTTGAAATATGTTTGCGGATGGTAGGAGAGTAAATGATAATATCGTTCATGATGTAAACTAAGCATCTTTCGTTCTGAATGCTGAGGAAAATATTGTCCATGACTCTTTGGAATGTGGACGGGGCATTTTTCAATCCAAAGGGCATACGTACGAATTCGTAATTGCCATTTTCTACGGAAAAAGCGGTTTTCGAAATATCCTTAAGGTCTACTTCTATTTGGTGAAAGCCTGAGGCTAGGTCAAGGGTGATAAAATATTGATATTTTCCCAATCGATCCAGAAGATCTGAAATATTAAACAGAGGGTATTTGTCGTCTACAGTACGTTGGTTGACTGTACGATAGTCGATTACGATGCGCCATTTGGGTTTGCCAGAAGCATCAAATTTCTTAGGAACGACCCAGACGGGAAAAGACCATGGAGATACAGAATGGCGAATTATGTCTTGGTCTAGCATTTTGTAACTTGGAATTTAACTTCTTCTTTGTGCATTTGGAGGTACCTACCTGTAAGATTTGGTATACATAGGCCAGAGCTGTCAGTACTTCAAGTAAATTACTTGGAAAATGTATTTCAATTACTTTTTAGTATCTGAAGTACTATAATTCAAATACTTTTGTTTTTGGATATTTGTACTTGAATCTGCAAATACTTTTAATAAAGTATTTGTATTTGGTACTTGGATTTACAAAAAAAGTAATTCAAATACTGGGCATTTGTACTCAATATACTAGATAAATTTTAAATCGTTAAATTGGAAGTAACTACAATCTGCAACTGGAATCTTGTACCTAATTTGGAATCTCTGTAGTACTTTTTTAGAGGTACCGTAAAACGGGGATACTTTGTAACATGTTTTGAGGTTTTTGAAATTCTCGAACCTTTCTTTGCCATATAAAATTCTGAAAAAAAAATACACCATGTACCTATATCCGTTCTTTCGCTACAGACTGGCTATTCTAGAAAATTGAAAAAATAATGATATTGATAAATCGTAAGCGTATTTACGTAGATATCCCGACAAGAAGGTGGTACCTAAGCAATTGGAAATTCTTACGAATTTTTCTGAGAAGGTTTCAAACCCAGCTTGCCAAGCGGCTTTTGTAGCGAGCGAGGTACCTATATGTGTTTCCGCCTATCGGTAGAAAAATTAGGCTTCGCGCACAGAATTTAAAATGTTTGCCTAATTTGAATTGAATTTCACAATGTCACAAAGTATCCCCGTTCCAATTTTCAGCCTTCAATACAATTTAAATAAAATCCTTGAATAATTTGAATTCCTTTTTAGTGGGTACTTGAAGTACTTCTTATTATTTCAAATACACCATGGGTATTTCAAATATTTAATTAAGTACTTGAAATACTTGCAGAGTATTTCAATTATTTTACTTGAAAAAATCAAGTACTAAATTAAAGTAATTGAAACTTGAAATACTTTTCAAATTGAAAGTATTTAGTATTTGTACTTGTAACACGAATTTCCTGTAATTGATACTTGGTATTTGAAATACTATTTGAAACAGTATTTGTGACAGCTCTGACACAGGCTTTGCATCATTGGTGTCAATAGAATGTTTAATCTCACTAGTAAATATGTGAGCGTATCACCTTCCAGGTAGAAAATGTGGGAAAAGTTCAGGCATAAGTTGGTAATTAGTTCTTTTTTCGTCGTTTAAATGTTCTGTATGAAGTTCATTTTGTATGAACATTTGCCTATCATAAGTTTCGTCATATTCGAGGTTAAAGTTGTTAAAACTTAGAATGGTTTTTTGAGTTTCACTTTCTGAGACAAATGGTTCGAGAGACAAGTTCGGAAATCTTGAGAAAATAGTAATGCATCTGTGTTGGATAGATAACACTTGAGTTTAAACATCTTTTCACTTCTAGCTTCTATAGATATTTTGCTAAGAATTGTTTTGAGTGTTGTTTGGTTTAGCATTATTAGGGTGGTCATCTTCGGACCGGTAACTTTATGAAGAGAGATAGTTTTAAAATTGGTTACAAGTTCTTCAGCTTTTAAACATTGATAATGTTATAGAAAATCCAACTTAAAAATTCCATCGAAATCAATATTCAAGTTGTAAATATACACTTTGTGGGGATTTTGGAGGGAGAACGGTACAAGTGTTGATTCATATATCTGGAGTTTTTGATCGGTGATATCTTGAATGGTTACGTTTTCTTCGGAACGATAAGGGAATTTATGGACAGTATTTTCTTCAAAAATTGAAATGCCTGCACCTGTATCAATAAGTAATCTGAACTTATTGGAAGCATCATAAATGTAGAACAGATTTTTCGAATTAACAGTAAAAAGTGGGTTTAAAGAGATGCTTGTTTCGGAAAATTGAGGTTCGGATTCATGTTGTCTAGATTCAGAAGTTGTATTTGAGTCTCGATATTCGAAGTGTGATCTTGATGGGTATTCTCTGGCGGATGGTGATTAGTAAAAGGTATCAGAAAATCCTGATAATTTTCAGCGTTCGGATCAGTAGTGAACTATTTAGCATATTCGTTTTCTCCATAACTAGCATCTTGTTCATAATGAGGGCTTTCAGCGTACTCAAATTCGTTGGCATATGTTTCATTAGAGGAATCATTTATAAGATAATTTTTTTGCTGGTTAGGGTAAAAATTGGGGTTTCTTTGAGGGGTAGTTGAAGCGTATCTTGGTACGAATTGTTCTGAAGTGGATGCATTTTGGGTTCTATTTTGCAAAACATTGGTTGTTGGTTTACGGTGCCTGAGTAGTTGGCTGTTGTCGTTTTTTAAAAATTTTGAATTGGGTATTGAGTGAAGTTTGAACGACTGAGAGCTTGTGGTCTACATTGTTTGGCGGTATGGCCAATTTTTCCGCAAGAAAGGCATTTTATAGATGATTGTGGTTTGTTGATCGAAACTTTTTGAACAGGAGGTTTTGGAGTCTTCTGATTCTCAGAATAAAAAGTTGGATTTCTCTTCTGATTCTATATTGGCACAGGCGAGGTTCTAGGCCTATAAGTAGAGTGTTTAGGCCCATATATTCCACAAGGGAGGACTGTGCTTCTTTTTGATATACTGTTTTCAGGTGTGGTGACTTTTGGATAGAAGAATGTATTTTTGCATTTAGTACTTGGAGTCTATTGTAGAAAGCAAGGGAGGACTCGCCAGGTAGTTGTTTGAGTCGTTGGAGGTCATGGATCAGAGCTGAGAGGTCTCTAGAATTTCCAAAGTGTAAATTCAGAAGTTGCTTGATCTCCAAATAGGAATTGGGGTTTCCAGAACTTATCAGTTGACCTGTTCTACCTCTGAGCTTATTTTTAATGTGAATAACAAGTAAAACTTTTTGCTGTGTAGTTGCCATATTTTATTGAGATACTTTGAGCTCGGCTTTGAGATTACCAAACTATCCAAAACAAAAATACAATTCTCTAATAAATACCTTCATAAACTGAATAGAATGTTATACATACATTTAATAAAATTGCGTTCTACTGAGCCCCTATTCCTAATATATTTGAATGAACAAAATCACATTATTTTTACGTAATCGGTGAGTCAAAACCTCGATCAAAACTTAATTAGGGATTTTCATTTGTAAAATGACAAAAAAGCACTGATTTCAAATAAACTGAAATGATAAATAGACTATTTTTGTTGCAGGAAGGTTTTGCTCCCCCTGAAGAACTAGAAGGCGGCGCAGGAGAAGAAGACGAATACTAAAAACCTAATGTCTAGTTAAAGCAAATATTCGCATATATTTTATTTTTTTCAAATAAAATTTGTGCATCGCCTATTGATATTCGCCAATGTTAAATAAATCTTGTAGCAACATTATTATAATTATATTTTTATCAGCCAGTTAAGTTTATCAAAACATAATTTTTACGATATGGTGTTGCTTTAATTTTCTCCTAGTTAAATACATTTTACTGCTTTTATAATAATCGAATGTTAAGTTTTTTATTTGTATAATTGCAGTAAATTGAGGCCTTTGTGTTTTTTCGTTTTTGTCAATGTCATGTTTCTCATTTTTTTTACTTATCTATTATTATTATTAATGTTAATTTTGGTCAGACAAAATTTTCATCAATAAAATTAACTTTAAAGAAGAATTGTGTTGCGTTTGATTTTTTTTCTACGAGCGTGCGGGAAATGGCTCTTCCCGCACGATTTGCTGTGCGGGAAGACTTTTTTCCCGCACCAGTACGGGAAGACTTTTTTCCCACACCAGTACGGGAAGAGATTTCTTCCCGCACTCAGTGCAGGAAGAGTTTGAAATAATCATTGACATGAAATTGTTTGTATTGTTGATACACCTATACCTTTACCTTTTTTTTATATATACCTTTCAATACAATTTTAATACTGCACAATCGCATTTTATTTAAATTAAACTTCTCATAACATCAGCTTTAGTATGCTTGGTATGGTCGTAGAAAAAATATAGTTCCTAACTCCTGCGGGAAGAAATTTCCGCACTCGTTGGGAAATAGTTATTTGCGATTTGACTGAGAAATTTTCATAAAAAATTAGCCTCAGAATTCCGAGTTTCGTTTTTTTTTCTATCTCGCTTAGAAATTGAAGTTTCCAAAAAGGCCACTTTCATGTGGGAGGTTTAGTCAGATTATTACATAAATTAGGTATTAAATAAAAATAGCAAATTTAAAGAAACAATTACGTGACAACTATGATATACCTACAGGGTGTCCACTTAGTGTGATACAGGACAATATTGTGCAAGAAAAAAAAATTAAATTACTAAGTTGTTGGATACTTGGTGCATTAGTATTTTTGAAAGTAAAGAGGGCTCCATAAATGGGGGATGCGACAGAGCTTTGTTATTTTAAATGGAACACCCTCTATTTTATTATCTAGGTACATCAATGGATTATCCTAGAAATCCTACATACTGTTCCTTAAGGCTCTACTACAGGCAAAAAGCTATTTCGTCACAGACCGCGAGACGAAAGTTCAAGAAAAGCTAGACAGTTGCGAAATGCATTAAAAAGCCTAATGAAACACAAAATTACACTACAATAAATCGTTTTAACGCCGCAATAAATAATTTTAGTCAAAAATGCATCAAATCAGTGCTCAAGAAAAACCAAACTACGGTGTCAATAAAGCAATAACAGACTTCATTTTTGGAACAAAAACTTACAAGGGTTCAACCTACCAGCCTACAGAGCGATTTTTCAAAAAAAAAAAAATTCATCGCTCATATTTGCAATCAAAAAAAAGCAAAAAAAGGCGATCTTCAGCAATATTTTTCTACAATAAATATTTAGTATATCAAAAAAACGCGTTTGTAGGCTGGTTGTATAATCCTTCGTTTATATAAATTTAATTAGTTCATCTCGATATCTGGAGCAGTTTTTTTGTAGTTTGGTTTTTACGAAACGCTTACAATCCCCAACGTGCTGTGGCCCCTTAAGAATTACCTACACCAAAATTCAACCGTTTTTGAAATATTTAATATTTTTTCAAAAAATCGCAGTTTGCACGTGTCAACAAAAACCAACATATTTCATTCTACCCTATGAATAAAAAAGAGCATTTGCTTTTTCTACCAAAATCTGAAGCAAATACTTCATCCAGTATGAATAAAAATTGAAGCAAAACCTCTTACTTCAAAGTAGGAAGCAAATGCTCCAGGAAAAAGCAAATACTCTTTTTCTTATGAATAAAACAGAGTATTTGCTTCAAATTGGAAGCATTTACTCCTTGCAAAATGCATCTGCTCCAGAGCAGATGTATGTTTACTATTTTGGTAAATTATTTCCAAATATTCTTACTTCCCGTTTTTTTGTAGATTGTAGATTGCATTAGGATTCGTTATAGCTTGTTCCAGCCGCTCTAGTGTCCAAGATTTATAGGCTTCTCCCAGAGGAGGCCAGCTTCCTGGGTCTTAAAGTGCCCACCTCTTGGGGTGTTATCCCCTTCAAGGTATTTCAGCCTTTTGCAGAAGTGAGCAGAGCATTCACAGATTAGGCTTTCTATACTTTTTATTGCTGGTTTGCAAAATCTGCAGTGGTCGTTATCTGATTTGCTTATTGTTTTTAGGTACTATTTCACCTGGCAATGCCCAGTGAGGAGACCAACTTTCTAATGTCTTTTCTGTTCATGCGAAGTTCTTCAGATCACATATGACCTTTATCATATGTTCATTTCTTCGGAGACGTGGCTTTTCATTAGTCTACAAAAAGGCTCTGGGTCTTAAAAAAATGTTAAAGCGCCTTGTTTTGTGAGACGGTTCGCCTTCTCGTTGCCCTCTATGCCGTGGTATCCTGGTACCCACATCAGGGTTACTTTATACCTCCCAGCCGGACCCAGCCAGTTGCTTAAGAATATTTTCACCCTCACAAACTAGCTGAGAATTGCACTTGATGGCTCCTAGAGCATTTAGAGCCGCTTGACTATAGGACAGTATACAAATGTGCTCTCTTAAAAGCCTCTTTTAAGATACTCTTTGGCACATATGTTTATGGCCAGTACCTCAGCTTGAAATTTTGTGGGCGTTTTACCGATTGCTCAGGAGAGTTTTTTTCATTCCCAGACCGACTCCTCTCGTTGGCTTCGAACCATCTTTGTGACTGTGTACCACAATGATGCGTTGTCCGCTTGCGGTAGCTTTGCGTTCTTCCATGATTGGAGTTCTTCTACAACCAATTCATATGGAATGTCAAAGTCCAGTGATGTTAGCATATGATCTTTTGGTTTACTTTGGCACTCGAGCCTTAGATTGAAATAACAGGTACCTACTACAGGTGGTATCTTTAACTTCATTTCTTTGAAGCATATGCTCGCGAGTAAAAGGTTTTCATTATTCATATGATATGAAGTGAATGCTTCTACTTCTACCTTTTACTTGAAGCTTTTGCTTATACTTCTACCTTTTGCTTAGTAGCAAATGATCTATTTTTATTCATACGGCTGATTGATTCGAGATCCTAAGCTAAATATTTTGCAGGTTGTTAGTGCATACTTACAATTACTATGTGGTCATATGAAAATCTATAAGTTGTTACTGTACTGTACACAAACCAGACATTTCAAACAACCAGCTCATTTTTTCTTTGATGGAAAGCCCTTTATTTTATTGTCTACTGGCAACCAGAGTTTACGCTATCCAAATAGATTGACATTTGAAAGACTTTCGCCCAAATGCATCATAGGGGCTTAGTCCAGATTAGTTACTAAAACATAGATTTAGGACTTCTTTTTTATATGCAAATTTCCGAACTAAGCGAGATTTCAGGTCCATACGGGTGTTAAAGAAAGATTTGAGAGAACCGGCAATATAAATTATGAAACAAAAAGGAAAGAGAAAAAACAGCTCAACCAAACATAGAAAAACTACTATAATTATATTTTTGGAATCGAAAAATAATACTCTTCCAGAGTAGGTAGACATTGGCGCACCCAAGGGGGGGGTTTTAGGGGGTTATAACCCCCCCCCCCCCAAAATTTAGCACTGGTACAAAGAATTTTCATAGAGTCTGTTTTTTTTTTAAAAGATAAAAGTCAAAATGACATTAGGTTTTAGGTTGGCAATACAATGTAAAATTGTCAATGCTTTCAATTTTTTTTATGTAGAAAGGGCTTGTATTGCCAACATACTAAATTTTTGACTTGGGGAATTATCTTTAAAAAAAAAACACAGCTTATATAATACCACAAGGGAAAAAATTTTGTTGGCAAAATTTTCAACTGGTATGAAAGTTTGTTGCTTGGCAATTTCGCGAATGACATTTTGTGAGCGAAATTACCAAAAAACAACAAACTTGAGACGAGACACGAGAGAAACAAGCCAAATTTTCATTTGGCAAATTTATTTTCTTTAGGTGACACTACACTTGTCAAACTCAATAGTTTTTTTACATTAACCAGACAAAATTTTGTTGCTGAAAAATCATCATGTTGGTTTTGTCCAGGTAGGAACAGGTAGGAGTTTTGTCAGTAGGAAACCGGCCGTTCCTATGACATTTTGCCAGAGTAAAACACTCTAGTGAAATAGTCCGGTAATAGCTATTTACCTAACAAGTGCGGAAAATGAATTTTTCCGCACGCGGCTGCCGTTCACCGAACGACGCGTGCGGAAAAAACAAAATCGCGCACTAGTGCGGGAAAGTGACATTTTCGGAACTAAGATGCGTGCGGGAAAGTGATAAAAAATGCATGCTCGTAGAAAAAAGTTTTACCGCACCGTGCGGGAAAACTCATTTTCCGCACGCATATCAGTGCGGAAAATCGATTTTTCCGCACGGCTGTAGGAAATAGTTATTTTCCTAACAAGTGCGCAAAGTGTTATTTTTCCGCACGCAAACACAGTTATACGCGAAGCGGAGTTCGGATACGTGTTTGCGTTCGGAAAAGACACTTTGCGCACGTGTTAGGAACAACATTTTTCCTACGAGCTTCATATCAGGTAGGTAATAACAAAAATTAAAAAAAAAAAAGATAATTTGTTTAAGTATTTTCAATTAACTTGAAGGGAACCTATGCATTTATAAAAAATTACATAACAAAAAATCCTCGTCAGAGCTGTTCGTCTTAAAGCGTTTAAATTTGATGAGAAAGTTTGTAGATTTTTGCATATAAATAGAGAACAAATCTGACAATGTGTCAAAGTTAATTTATAATTGGTGTTTGTATAGATGTTGGCTGATATAGAAATAGAGGAAAAATTTGTCATCATGTGTCAAAGTCGACAGGTGCACTCATTGTTGCTTGACAATTATAATTACTTTTCGGCACTCAATGCGGATAAGGTCTGTATCCGCACTGAGTGGGGAAAAGTGTAACTTTGAGCCCGGAAATGCTTGCGGAAAAGTACTACTTTGCGCACGCTCGTAGGAAAAAATATTTTTTTTGCGATTTTGGTTAATAGGTATAGGTATAGTCAAAGAATATTATAGTTAACACTTATAGAAAACCTATTCCATGTATATTTTTTGACCCCCAAATGGAGCCAGACTTTTCGAGCCGGGCTCCATCGGAGTGGTAGGCTCGC